ATCCTTTCAATAAAATGGCGACATGTCGGATTTCGAAGTTTCTGTTATTTTTAAATGAACCCAACTCTTACAAACAAAATTATCTTTTCTAGAAAAACATGCCAGCCACAACCATTGAAAAATATAAACATCTTGTCAATCCTAAATAACAAATAACTTGTAATTTATTAATATTAATCTCGCCTGAAAAAGGCAATAATCGTCGAGCAGCTGTGAATTTGGCAACCAGACAAAACTTATTTAGCTTTATTTAGTTAATCTCAAATATATTAAAGATAAGCTTGAAATGGTTACAGCAAAACGAAACGGTATAATACACATTGAGTGATGGATGGGTAGAAAGGTGAATTTCCTCGTAAAGAAATATAGCCTTTCAAAATTACAGTTAATCTGTAAAATGCAGAAAGACTCATTGTGCGTTTAGCATAAAGGGGGCCAAAAACATTGGATAGTTGTCACAAGGGTGATGAAAACAGTTTCAATCTAAATGACCAATTTGTCGATGTCTTTCGCGATTTCCCTAGAAAATGTTCAAATGAATCCCATTCTTTAATTCTACAGACATATTTTCGTGTTCCAAAAGTAAGAAAAAATCTTCACCCGGACATTTTTATGAGAGAGATGCCTGCATAGATGCTTCTCGAAACACTCTAATCTGAAGTTTTCCAGGTGAAAAATATCAAGCGTTATCAATCCTCATTTATCCTCATGATTTGTATTTCTTACCAGCCCCATTTTCATCCACACACCTCATGAAAAAAACATTTTTCAAAAGCTCACCTAAAGGTAACAGCCACTCAAGAAATGGTTACTGTTAAAATGGCTCATGATAAAGGAAAAAAGTATGATATGAAAAAAAGACAAAGAGTGAAGATTATGAGAAGGTGGACAGATAACCATTGACCCTTGAATTGAAGAATTCAGGATTATCAAGGCTAGAAATGAAAACACTGAGTAGCTCCAGCCTAGATATGGCAACAATACATCAATAAAGCATTTGGGATTTGAAATTGGAATGAAGTCAAGATGCAGTACAATAACATGTGCCGTATTTTCTTATAATTAATATTGCATTTAATTTAAACCGTTATTTCATCACCCACAAGTGTGCTAATGCGTGCGTGCAGTCCCCACACTCCCTCCTATCTCTAACATAAACCTTAAATTCTTACATGCAATATCTAAATCTCCCCGTCACCTCTCAGGGGTGGTTGTTTATATATCTACCTATGTCATTCCGCTCGCTACAAACCATGCAGCTGGAAATTTACATTCGGTAGCCCGAACGTTGTTTCGGGTTAACCTTTCACCTGGTTCCGTTGATGGTCTGGTCAAATATTGATTGCACATTCTATTCTGGCATAACACTATACAGTAAGCCTCTACCTTAAGTGTCTCTCAAAAACTTAATCCTAACCCTTTACAAAAGCATAGGCGCTAAGTCGAGCTGATCATATTATCGGAACATTTTACTTTCGATTGCATGTAAAATCATCTGTCTATATTTCTGAGATGACGTAATGTAACTATTTACACTATTTACATCGTTCGGACTGCTGTCTTCATCTTTATTGACATATGTGCAATTCTTCAGATGATATCCGTTAGAATTTCGAACCGAAATCTTTATTTAGTACACGCGGGTAGATTGTTCTAATTCCACATGCCATACCTGTTTTGTATATCTTAGTTTCAGTTAATTCCCTTTAGTAATTCAATTCTCAAGTTTTTTTCCTTCTGTTGCGATCATTTATTGAACTCACAAGATGGCCGGAACGTGAAACAGCCAAAACGTTGTGAAGATGGGGACAACAGTTCGAATAGTGTAAATTGTATGTAAATCTTTTGCAAGATTACAACTCAACCCATTTGTATTGGAAAAGAAAATGTATATAAAGAAAAAGAAAGATTTCGATGACTAGATTTATTCAGGTCAAAAGAAATCATGAGCTTTCAAGAATACTGTCAACTTATTGCAAAGTTAAAAGAACTTAACCATGAATCCGGATAGAAAGTCACACATTCCGTGAGTACATGCAACATAAAAGCAAGTCCATTATCTGTAAACACCACGGAAGTGAAATACAAAAATAAAAACCAATATTTGGCCATCAATGTGTTCCTTAAAAAGATAGAAGGGTTTAAAAGTTAATCAGAACCGTACAGTTGTTTGTCACGATTTCTAATGTAATCGACAGAATTGACCTAACAATATAAAAAAAAAAGTATGATAGTCAAGGCTAGACATTTCCTTCCACAGTCCGTTGCGCTTGTATTGTTCGACAAATGAACAAATCGTGTTTGGACATATTGGAAAGGATTATTTTCTTCTAACGTGTGAATCGGTGTCATCTACACAGGATATATATTCCCTGTCTAAAAACGAAAGACGTGCATTCCATCTTGAGTCCAGAGATCTGGATTTCAGTAAGATATTCATCCATACAAAAGAAAATTGACGATATTTTTTGTCCGCTTTTGTTTTGTAAGCGTGTCTTGTCACCAACTCATAGGCTTAGTATAGGTAAGGTTAATGAAGTCGATACTGGTCAGCACTTAGATGAGTGACCGCTTGGGAATACCAGATACTCTATGATTGGGTGTGCGGGTGGTAGAATGGATAATGGCTTGGAATTGTTAATCGGAGAGCCGAGTTTCAATTCTAGTTGGGTTTGGTATAATCACTTACACGCAAATACCTTTGAGAAATGTACGAATCTACCTCTTCTCCCTTCAGCTATGGGTTAATTAGTAAGATTTGTATCACTAAACAATTATTATCTCTCAAAATGATATAAAATTGTGTACGAAATATTTTAGATTTCGGCATTAAATAACCAATTGAGGTTGATATGCCCCAAAAAACAATCAAACTAAAATTATATATATATATAAATATATATATATATATATATATATATATATATATATATATATATATATATATACAAAGAATAATCACACATAGAATTAATCAGAAGTATCAATGCGATTATTGGCGACATCCATCGCTAGAAAACATAATATATGCATTAAAATCCTGTTCATCCATCAATAATAGCAGATATTCAAAAAACATCTTTCGGTCGACATACAGGTATATCGTCTCAAGTTTTTGATTTTATAAGGAAAAAAAACACATGCCTGATGATGGATGGAAGACTGTCCGTAAGTACTAGCATTTTAACATCAAATAAACTGAAAAACTACAGACAACAAATTTTTCTTCAAGGATCAAAACTCGCACTATGGATGCATATATTGTTTTCTAGCGATGGATGTCGCCAATAATCGCATTGATACTTCTGATTAATTCTATGTGTGATTATTCTTTGTATGTAAATCATATGCCTAATGTTTTATATATATATATATATATATATATATATATATATATATATATATATATATATATATATATATATATATATATATATATGTTTTCAATCTTTTCACCCCAAACAAGGTAATAGAGTCATTAGGAAGCAAGGGGTTACTGAGCGTAATACAATAAAATAAAAAGGAAAACACTATATATATATATATATATATATATATGTATATATGTCTGTGTGTATGTGTTTGTGTGTGTGTGTGTGGGTGTATTTAAGGAACCAATCCTTCTTTCATGCACATTTCATTGAATACTACAGAAAAGGTGCTTTTATTTAGTTTTTATACAATTTCTCATGGGATCTATTTTTTTTTTCTTTTCGGGCGATAAATTATATAAAAACTGTCCGAAAATAGCTTGTTGTATCTATGTTGTATAAAATGTTTTCATTTTTCAAAACACGGTCAAGACATTGTGTCCATGTTCAAATTTTAATGTTTGATAGTAATTTAAATGTTTAAATACTATACAAATAAACTAGATTTAATACTTGATAATAATTTAAATGTTTAACTTCTCCACAAATAAATTAGGGATTTAATATAAAATGAATATTATATTAATAAACAAATATAAAAAATAAAAAGTTAATAATAGTAATATCTTAATATTGTGAATAACGGTTAAGGTAAAATCTTTTTTAGTTAGAGTCTAATTCATCAATTTAATCTGAAGCGTTTTAGGTGAGTAATATTTCTTGATGTTTGAAGTTTTTATATATATATATATATATATATATATATATATATATATATATATATATATATATATATATGTAAGCAAATATATGGATATAGATCCGACAGTATGAAGAAAAATATACTGAAAAAACAAACAAAAATCCTAATATGCGATTATGCTGTTTTAATGTTTAATGTCAGAGTCGGACGTTTCGGTCTAATAGACCATCTTCAGGACATATTCATGAAACATAATTAACATAGACCATATACAATTCAACATGAAAAAGACGATGGACATAAATACAATACCAATCCAAACTGTTTGTTTTTCGGTATATTTTTCTTCATATATATATATATATATATATATATATATATATATATATATATAAATTCAAACGTCATTTTTAGTGATTAGTGGTATTTCAGTAGACGCTCGTTTTTTTTTTATTTTTGTTTTCTTTATACCAGTGTTTATTACGTCTACGAGCAATTAAAGAAAATGGACTCTCCGGCGGGGTTTGAACTTGCTTCTTTCTTTGTCGGAGCAACTACCTTTTGATGTTTCGTTTTTTAAGCCTGTTCAACCAGAGAGAGCGTCTAACTCGTTGACTACATGTTTAAATTTTCTATTCTAACAGACACTGGACTATGAAGCATTTTTTAACCAAAACACTTCTCAGGCTCTCAGTCTTTTTTGCAGACATTAGGAGTGTCTGCTATTAACCCTATTTCTCCTCATGGGAAGAGATGATTATGTCAGGAACCAGTTTGCCGATACCCAAATTTCAATAATCTGCAATAAGTGAAATGGTTTCTACAAAGTTGATAAAGAACTGAATCTTTTTTTTTTAAACTTTTCACTGGTTGCGAGGTTATATATGCAAATGTATGCATTCCCTTTTTATTCAAACAATATTGACATGAAATCATTTGAATTGAATCTATGTTATCGGCGGCGTCCATCATTACGTAACAATTCCCACCATTTGTTTAGCCTGAATAAAATTTTACATTTTTTTTTATTTTAATGTTTGCTATTTTCACCATTCTTCCATTTCCTCTCTCTGTTTATTTCGTTATTTTTTTATCAGAGAATTTGCCGATTTTTTTTTTTTTTTTTTTTTTTGAATTGTGACTTTTTCTGAAGTTCAGCTTTCTTTTTTTTAATTTAGGTTTTCCATGTTTTTTCTTTGAAAATGTTTTATTTTTTGTTTTTCGTATTTGCTCATTCGTTTTATTCACTCATTCTTTCTCCCCCCCCCCTTATTCTTATCCTTTTATTTTTTTTATTTTTCTTTATTTCCATTCGATTTCTCTCTGCGTAAATATTCAAATCATTACTACTTCTCTTTCTTGTTTACTTTCTTTTTTCTTTCAAATTTGTTTTCTTGTCTTAACATTTATTTTTAATCACTTTTATGCTTTCTCCTTTTTCTCGATATTTTGCCCGTTCACATAGTTTTCTTCTCTTTCTCCCAGAATTATTATTTCTTCTTCTTCTTCTTCTTCTTCTTCTTCTTCTTCTTCTTCCTTCCTTCCTTCATTCCTTCCTTCCTTCCTTCCTGCCTTCATTCTTTGCCAATCTTCCACTTCCTTCCTTCTTTCCTTCATTCCTTCCTGTTTTCTTCTTCTTTATTTCCTTCCTTCCCTCCTTTCCTTTCTTCTTCTTCTTCCTTTTCTTCTTTCCTATCTTCTTCTTCCTTCCTTCATTCCTTCTTCTTTGTCCTCCCTCTAAAGAGTCTATGTTGGACTCTTCCGCCTACTATAAGATTAGTAGGAGAGAAGGCCTTAGGGTAATAGTCGAACAGATCTGTTCCAGTTGTGCTAGTCAAACTCTCTGCCCCATTTTATACAGAGTCTATGAGGAATTTTTGGCCGAGTCTACGGGCCAAGATTTCCCCACATTAAACTCAGCTTTGTCCCAAATGTTACCTCGTGGGGAGGCTGGTAATATAACAGTCGAATAGATTGAATGCTGGGTCATCCGACACACACTCACTAGTCGTGTAATACTCTTCTGTTGTATTTACTATTTAATATATATCTGTAAGACTTGTTTTCTTATTTCTTTAACTATTTACTTGGTTACAACATTCTTCTTCTTCTTCTTCTTCTTCTTCTTCTTCTTCTTCGTTCCTTCCGTCCTTCTTGTCTTCATCCTCTTCTTCTTCCCTATCTTCTTTCCTTTCTTTTTTCCTTACTTCCTTTCTTCATCTTTCTTTCTTCTTCTTCTTCCCTATCTTCTTCTGTCCTTACTTCATTCCTTCCTTTTTGTTCTTCTTTCCTTCCTTCCTTCCTTCTTTCCTTTCTTCTTCCTCTTCTTCTTTCCTATCTTCTTCTTTCTTCCTTCCTTTTTCTTCTTCATTCCTTCCTTTCTTCCTTCCTTCCTTCCATTCTTCTTCTTCTTCTTTATTTCTCAAATTATTTTTCTTCTTCTTTTTCTTTTTTCAATTATCATCCCATTCATACACTTGTTCTTTCCTTCCTTCCTTCCTTCCTTCCTTCCTTCCTTCCTGCATTCGTCCTTTCCTTTCTTCTTCTTTCTATCTTCTTCTTCCTTTCTTCCTTCCTCCCTTCATCTTCTTTCCTTCCTTCCTTTCTTCTTCTTCTTTATTTATTTCTCAAATTATTTTTCGTCTTCTCCTCCTTCAATCTTCAATCATCATCCCATTCATATTCTTTTGTTTGCCTCTGTCTGCACTTACTAACCACCTCCTTCCTTCCCTCAAAAGTTTTTTTTTCCACTATATATATATATATATATATATATATATATATATATATATATATATATATATATATATATATTATTTTATATTTTATCCTTTTGAATTTTCTCTCTTTGAATCCTCTTTTCGAAATCAGTCGCTAGACTTGGAAATTTTTATTACCTTTTTGGAGAAATTCCAAATTTTCCATATAAAAGGAAATAACAATGATGTTAGCGCCAAAAGAATTCCATTCCGGAAACAGTCACGTGAACTGTCGCTTGAATGAAAAGGAAAATTTAAACGATCTCATTAGAATTCTCTAAAGTCAAAAGACCGTCAAACGATGGATCTATATTAGGGCCGAACACTTTTTTTTAATCGAAAGCAGAATATCATATATTATATTTTTATGACTTCAAAGCTCTCAAGACAAGCAAATGTCCACATTAATTGACCCATAAGGTGTTGCTATGCCGTTAAAAAAACAAACCAACTTTCATAAAATCCATACTTAAAGAATCTAAGTTCAGATTACCTACAACCACAACCGGTGTAACCTAAATTCTTTCACTCCCACATATAAAGCTTCGCCAATCAACATACGGACACTACTAGACGGAAATAAATATACCCACTAGATGCACACATACGTACACGCACACATATTACCAAACAAATTTCGCATAGACCAACTAGAATTATGTCACAGAAACGCACAAGAATTATACACACGAACGCTAACTAACAAAAAAATAACGTGAGGTCTACTTAACGATGGCAAAATTAAAAAAATACAAGAATTTTCGCCTCCATATTTCATTTTCTGATGAAGCTTAAACAAAAGTAAAACATGTTATATCTATAAACATTTCCTATGTGTTCCTTATCCAATCATTTTCTTGAATTCTAATCCACTTGATTCATCTTTGTTCCTATATATTCCAGAATTAAAGAAAAGAATAGATTGAAAACAAGTGCAAATGGAAATATCGATTACTAAATAAGTTTGTCTTATACTGAGAAGACATTCGATACTATATCCGTTCTCTGTACGACTCAATAACTGACAAGGGTTTTTGAATGTCTGTCTTCCTTTCTAACACAGCCAGTCAAAACTTGCTCCCCATATAACTCATCGTTTGATTTCTAATACTCCACACAATATATTTCTTTACTTCCATATCCAAAATATATTTACCTTGCAGCCATATCACTTCGAAACACCAGTTCTAGTACCATAAGCAATGCCGAGCCAGGTGAGTACCTAGATGGGTGACCGTTTGTGAATACTAAGTGTTGTATCATTAGAAGTGCGGATGGTGTAAAGGGGTTACGACCATATCATCTTGAAACACCGGTTGTTGTACAATCACCGAAGTTAAACAACGAGGAGCCTGGTCAGTACCGAGATGGGTGACCGCTAAGGAATATAAGGTGCTGTAAGCTTGGGTGTGCAGATGGAGTAATAGGCTTACGGTCATATCACGTTGAAATACTGATTCTCGTAAAAAAAAAACGAAGTTAAACAACTTCGGGCCCGGTTAGTACCTAGATTGGTGACTGCTTAGGAATAGCAGATGCTGCAAGTTTGGATAGACAGGCGGTGTAATTGATAAAACCCCGGAATTGGAAATCGGAGATCCGAGTTCGAATTCCGGTTGAGTTGGCTATATTCACTTACACTCTAATACGCTTGTGAAAGGTATGAATACACTCCCCACCACATCTAATGGTTAATTATTAGAACCTGTATCATTATTATCTCCAAATAATCATGCCATCTAAGAACATTTTCTGACTTTAAATAACCTGCAAAAGGTTGATAAAACGTTAAAACAAATCAATCAGTCGAAACCGGGTTAGAAATGTGTCGTTCTTATACTTGATGTAATTCAACGACTGGTTGAAATAATTCTGATACTTTCAGTCGACCAAATTTCAGCAACACTTATATATATATATATATATATATATATATATATATATATATATATATATAGAGAGAGAGAGAGAGAGAGAGAGAGAGAGAACAGGTAATAAATCCATTGGTATATAATCCAAGTGAAAAAGAGCGACCAGCCCTCTCGGAACTGAGAAATATTTTAAGACAGAAACTGAAAAACCTGCGAAGAGCAGAAGGTCATCTTCGCCGTAGGAAAGAGCGGGCCAGGAAGAGGGCTTCGTTTATCTCCGACCCGTTTGGTTTCGCCAGAAGACTTCTGGCAGATAAGAGAAGCGGCAGATTAGCATGCCCAAAAGATAGGGTGGATTCCTTTTTGAAGAGCTCTTATAGGGAGCCAAGAAGTGATGAGGAATTAGGATTTAATGATCGCCTCATTAACACCCCCCCCCCGAAGTTGAGTTCGACACGAAGGTGCCAATTTTGAGTGAGGTCAAACAGATAGTAATGGCAGCGAGATCAGCTTCGTCGCCAGGCCCGAGTGGCGTGCCTTACTCCGTGTACAAGCGTTGCCCCGGTCTTCTCATGAAATTATGGAAGATCATTAAAGCAATTTGGCAGCGAGGTAAAGTTGCAGAACAATGGCGATACGCAGAAGGTGTTTGGATCCCAAAAGTAGAGAACTCAGAAAATATCGAGCAGTTTCGATGTATCTCGTTACTGAGTACAGAAAGCAAAATATTTTTTAGTGTTATTTCCCGACGGTTATCAGCTTTTCTGCTAAAAAATAGCTTTATAGATACATCGGTACAAAAAAGCGGAATCCCTGGTGTGCCTGGCTGCGTGGAGCATATAGGAATTTTGTCGTAATTAATAAGGGATGCAAGGAAGAATAAAGGAGACTTGGTTGTTGCGTGGTTGGACTTGGCCAATGCATATGGGTCCATACCGCATAAACTCGTGGAAGAAGCTTTAGTTAGACACTACGTCCCAAGTAGCATCCGCAAGCTGATCCTAGATTACTACAGACAATTCCATCTAAGAGTTGCATCCGGTTTGGTTTCTTCAGACTGGCATAGACTCGAGAGAGGAATTATTACAGGCTGTATATTGTCAGCCACGCTTTTTGCTCTCGCGATGAACATGCTCGTGAAGTCCGCTGAGGTGGAATGCCGTGGCGCCGTTTCAAATACCGGAGTTAGGCAACCACCCATTCGGGCTTACATGGATGATCTTACAGTCACCACGCATTCTGTTACAGGCTGTAGATGGCTATTACGGGGTTTAGAGAGACTGATTGAAAGGGCAAGAATGAATTTCAAGCCAAACAAATGTAGATCAGTGGTAATAAAAAAGGGCCGAGTGGTAAAACACTATTTCACAATAGAAGGAAGAGCCATCCCGACGTTGGCCGATAAGCCTGTTAAAAGTCTAGCTAAATCCTTTTGTAATGCTCTGAAGGACACACCAGCTATCGAAGCTATACGTACTGATTTTGACTCGTGGCTGGCGAAAATAGATAAATCGGGATTGCCAGGGCGCTTCAAAGCCTGGCTATACCATCACTGTGTGCTCCCACGAGCATTATGGCCACTCCAGACATATAGCGTTCCCATCTCGACTGTGGAGACTTTAGAGAGAAGAGCTAGCAGTTTCCTCCGTAGATGGTTAGGATTACCTCGGTGCTTAAGCAGTGCAGCCTTATATGGATCATCCAATGCCATCCAACTGCCATTCAGAGGACTAGTTGAGGAGTTCATGGTGTCACGGACAAGGGAAAGCTTCCATTATAGAAACTCCAGAGATCCTAAAGTATCGGGTGCGGGAATTGAGATCAAGACTGGCAGAAAATGTAGTGCTACTAAGGAATTAGCTGTCGCAGAAGGGAATCTGAGGGTAAAAGCAATAATGGGTTCAGTCGCACAGGGCAGAGCAGGCCTGGGGTTGATTCCCTCCTACAAATTTGGAAATGGCAGCGTGAAGGAGAGTCAACACCTGATACAGGACGAAGTAAGAGCAGGGATGGAGGAAAAGCAGATGACAAAAATGGCAGGTTATAGCCAGCAGGGCGCGTGGACCAGGTGGGATGGTGTAGATCGGTGGAAAGTGTCGTGGTCAGATCTTTGGAATACCGGCTTCAGCCGATCTAGATTCCTGGTTCAGATGGTGTACGACGTATTACCAAGCGCGACCAAACTACACCTATGGGGAAAATAGATTCTCCAAAGTGCCCCTTGTGTTCGGGGAGGGGATCACTGCAACACATATTAAGCGGGTGCAGAACAGCTCTGACAGACGGGCGCTATCGGTGGCGTCATGACAAGGTTTTAGAGGCGATAGGATCCCATTCACTGTTATCGTCCGCGTCGGATTGGCAAATGCGAGTCGATCTCGGGAAACAATTAAAATTCCCAACACATATATCTTCTCCAAACTCCGTCCAGACATAATCGTTTAATCAGACGCCACAAAACAGATTATTTTGCTGGATTTAACTGTCCCATGGGAAGAGCATATGCAAGAGGCATTTGAGAGAAAGTATAGTAAATATGAAGGACTCTTAAATGACTGCAGAACTAAAGGATGGCACACTCATTGTTTCCCTGTCGAGATCGGCTGTAGGGGATTTGCCGGACAGTCAATGATACGAGCCCTTACTAGCCTAGGGATAACTGGACAAAAAAGAAGGCGATTCAAATGATCCTGGAGTCCGTCGAAAAGGCCACCAGGTGGTTGTGGATTAATAGAGCGAATGCGTGGCCCAAAAAATAAGAACGTTCCCAATGCAGATGTACACACGCCATGAATGCAAACACTAAATGCTTTTAAGACTGATTAGTATATATATATATATATATATATATATATATATATATATGTGTGTGTGTGTGTGTGTGTGTGTGTGTGTGTGAAATTTGTGTATATAGATGACGAGAAACTTGCGAGAATCAATCTTTCGATTTGCATTCAGTCTCATATGCAATGACTTCTTACTGGTCTTCCGAGTAGATTTATTTTATTGCGAAAAACATTCTTACAAGTAATCTTTCCCCTTTTTTTTTTTAAACGGAATTTTAATTTTTTAAGAGTAACTTATTTTAGCTAAATTTACACGCTATTTTTTCTTTCAACTATTTTTCGACATGTAAATATCTCGATCATTTATTTTGATGAATTTTAGTTATTTCTCTTAGTTTTTAAACGAATTCCTTCCGGTAAGGATAATTTTTTTTTGGAGCAGGGGGGTTAACTTATTTAAAATTTACACGTTTTTTTTTTTTTTGTGGGGGGGGTTAACTAGTATTTGACATGTAAATAGCTTGATTAATTTATTTTTAAGCGATTTTAGTCAAATGTTTTTCTCTTAGTTTTTAAAGATGTAAATAGTCTGTCATTTTAATCACTTTATTGTAAACGTTTTATTAAGTGTAGTTAAGAAAAGAAAATAAGAAAAAAGTAAAAAGAAAAGGAAGACCAAACAAATAAGTTAGTTAAAAGGGGAGGTAGAGAAAGTACAAGTCGCAAGACGAGCCAATATAATAATTCGTGTTTTTATTTTTTTTTTTGTGTATATGTGTTTGTGTATGTATATATATATATATATATATATATATATATATATATATATATTTGTGTGTGTTTATGTGTATATTTATTGGTTTGTTTTCTTCTATTCTTCCAAAAAACACCCATTCTTGGCCGCATGTAGGAAGATCTATACAACTATGCATACCTAATCTATAACATCGAATAGCCCAAGCGAACTCTTGATTGGTTGTTGTCTATTGGGGCAACTTATATAATCCACGTCCTAAAGCTAGTGGCAAATTTTTGTTCTAGGTGCGGGCCGAATACTGATCCTATTCGGTCGGGTCGCCCATTGAAGAAGTCTGTTGTTTATTTAGACCCGAAACTTCTAGTGACAGGAGAGCAACAACACTGATGACGCATCTAGATTCCGCACTGAAAGGTGTATTTTAATAATAATAAGTGGATCCTAGTACTATAAAATATTAAAACTGATCCACAAAAAGAGCTCAATGTATTATAAAAGAGCATATAAATTACACAACAAAATCCCAAATTACCAATTTTATATATATATATATATATATATATATATATATATATATAGTATAATATGTTATTTAACTTTTTATATACCACAATAATGTCATGGAAATTAATGACATAGTTCAAAAATAAAATTTACTCTATCAACTGCATTAATTGCTGCAAGGAATACATAGGAAAAATCTTAAGAAATTTAAATAAAAGATTATATGAACACAAAAGGGACATTTTACAAAACAACACACTGAATTCATTAGTTGCTCAACGTAATGAGTTTTACAATAATTTCGATTTAAAAAAAATGATATTTTAATTACAAGAAAAAACAATTTACTAAGATGAAAATATATAGAAAGTGCTTTAATCTGTAGATCATCCATTGTAAATATACGTCCATGTTCTTATAACATTTCACCATTCTTGGCATATCTTCTATTATCACAATGTGCGATATTTAATAACAAAAGTGA